CACTAGCATGTTTAGATTGTAGCCAAAGTAATATTTTCTCTAAAAAACTCGGTAAATACATATTCTTTTTTATGATATAAAAAAAAAATATTTATACGTGGGAATCACTTATTGGGTTATTTTATCAACTTAATGATGCGAATGAGATGTTTTTTGTTGGCTTTTTATGACTCAAGCACGCAAATGAGAAATTGAATTTCCAGTAAAACACTCAGTAAGAATAAACATTCTTTTTTTTTCATATTTTGATGTACAAAAAAATATTGTTGTACACATTGGAACTCACTTATTGGTTTTCTTTAAGATAAAAATAAAAAAAATAAATAAATAAATAAAAATAAAACAACGGATGCCAATCAAAGATTTTTGGTTGGTTTTTTATGCCTGTAGTACCTTATTTCCAAAGTAACATTTCCCCAAAAAATATCAAAAACAGTAAATATTTTTTAGTTTGAAATTTTGAATGTAATTGAAAATATTTTTACAGGTGTAAAACTAAACCACTGTTTTTTGTACGCTTTTGGGGCCGGAGGATCCATGCAGGTTGATCCTAATAGGAAGGATAAAGTGAAATGTGTATTCTGTGGGGAGAGATGGATGGCGCTATCAACCACCTAAAACATCACCAGTGTGGTGTTCTTGTGACTGTCAAGCAACAATTGCTTGCATTTTATCATGGTGGCGAGAGGCAAAAAGACATAAAAATAGAAGGTGGTAAAGGAAGTAGAGGAGAGATTAAAATGCACCTACTTGAGAGCAGATAACAAAGATTTAGATGCCTAACTTGAGTTTGCAAGAAGCCAGTCCAGAAGGTATGTACAAACAGCAGGTCATAATGGGGAGGCAATGTGGTGTGGGGTCTGCAGGAGCTGGACCAGTTGTCCTGTACCTTCAGGACCCAATCATGTAGCATCTAGCATGGGGGAATAAGCACCAGGATTATTCAGGATTTGTGCATGCATGATAGGCATAAACCTCCTAGTAGTTCTCAGTCTTCTCATGCTATACGGACTCCCAAAATTTTACAACCTTATAGCTTATCCAAGAGTAAATTGATCCCCTTCAGTCCGAGTTCAGAGCAAAAGACCCTAAAGTCCACATAGGCCAAGACAATTAGAAGCACATTAAAAGGCAATTGCTGAGTGGTTTTATGATGCTACCATCTCATGCAGCAAATAGTGAACAATGTTCAAAAATGCGGATTCGGCCGCCTAGGCGTTTTCGGCACCTAGCTGCCTGGGGCGGCGCCCAAAGACAGGGTGCCCTCACATAAATTGAAACCCCCCCCCATCAAAAAACAAAAAACAGGGGGAGTTCTTTGGGTATAAGACCTAAGTTTCTCTTTGGGTATAAGACCTATGTTTCACTTTTACATAAGACTTAACCCATTAAGATATCACATAATCAATTATTTATCAAATAAAATAGAATATTAAAACATGACACATTATACAAAAAAAGAATCAACAATTCATAAAAGAATACGATATATGCTCAATTTCATCGTCCAAATGACAAAATTCAATTAATCAAAAAAATCAATCTTTTAACTACAACCATGTAAATATATTGTAAAAAGAAAAAAAAAAAAAAAAGCAAAAGTAAACACATGATTCATCACATAATACATTGTAGCAAAATAAAATCAAAACCTTCTTTCAAATATGATATACTTTAAAAATATCAAAATCAAATCGGTGCAAGCCTCGTCTATTGGGTAGTCAAAAGTTCTCAAAATCAACTACTAGAAGCTCCAAATCCACCCACAAAGGCTGGTTTTTTTTTTTCTTTTCGGGGGGAGGGGGGGGGGGCGGGTTCTGTTTCTGGGGTTTAGAATACCCCCCGAAACCCTTTTTCCCCCCTTTATAGGAGGGAAAAATTACAGTTTTTTACCCTTCACGGAGGGTTTTTTTCCACCTGTCTACAAAGTGTCACGGGGCAGCAGCGCCTAGGCAGTCAGCTAGAGACAGGGCGCATAATGACCCCGCCGAGACCCTAGGCGTTTTTTTCAAATTTTTCACCTCGGCGATCAGGCGACCGAATTTTCGAACACTAATAGTCAATATTATAAAACACTGATTTCTCGGCCCCAGCTAACTAGCACTCGACCAAAAAACTTGGCCTCGGCATCCCCCCCTCCCCCCGGAGGGAGCTTTGTATACATAATTAGATGTACAAAC